GTTTCCCCAATCCCAGGGGGGCTTTTCAGAGCACTTTAAGGGATCCTGTCCTTCCCCTATCCTTAATTGATCTGAAACATCAACCTTACTCAGCACAGCTGTTCAAGGCAGAAATGGTGGAAAAGAGAGAAAACTCAAGGGGACGGGGGGGGGGTGGGGGGGGGGTGGGGGGGGGGGGGGCTATTAGGGGGAGGGGGGAAGCACTGGGAAGTTGCTTTTGTCTTCTTGCAGTAATCACAAGAGCTCCCAGCTTATATGGATGGATGGATGGATAGATAATAGACAAGAAACAGACATAGAAAAAATATGTAGACATTCATATATACATACACAAACAGATACATATGTAGGTAAGTAGGCAGGTAGATACATACATGCATATTACCTAGGCAGGCAGACAGATAGATGATAGATAGACAGACAGACAGCCTTTCAGCTCCACACAGAATATGCAGTTGTATTTGCAGCCTGGACTTGCTTAACTTCCACACCAACACACTCATAATTACCATAACTTGAATAAAATCTAACAAGTATCCATCTGCTCTTGGAAAAATAACACCCAGGAGATAAATTTCTCACAAAGTGATCTCCTCGACCTCCGTCCCTCCAAGACGCGCTGTCCGTCTGCTTCCCCTGGCTGCAGTCTGTCTCCACGTAGGCATTTTCCATCCCCCCAGTAAATGCAATGTCATGCAGAAGACTCAAAGGGAAGGTAAAAGGATTAGGAGATTGATCGATGGCCGATATTAATGCTCTTTCATGTTGGGTTGGAGAAGGATTTGAGGTCCTCAGGAGAGAGGGTAGAGGAGAATAGACCTCAACTATTCAAAAGACTCTCTGGATTAAAATCCTATTAAACTTACATCAACTTCTCCAGGAGGCATTTGAGAAGGTTGGGGTTTCTTTAACATGTCACCATAATTAACCTTCCCTTAAGCTGTTTTGGGTGGGGAACTTTAGCAATTAAGAAACTGAAAAACTTTCATTTTCTGTCACCCACATGGCTTTTTGAATGGTTTGAAAACTAGAGTGGAAAGTGGTTTAGCTTAATTGATTTGAGGGGTTCAGATCTCCCACTTGAACCTGCTGTCAGACCCGCCCGAGATCTGAGCCCCTCATTAAAAAGGGCATTTTGTCCAGAGAAAGAATCAAAGGTCCGGGCTACTCCAAGGCTTTTTCTTCCTCTGATCATTGCCCACTGAGGCCTCGCAGAAGGAACAACTCTGTAAAGAGACCGTTGTTTCCGCTACAAAAATCTGGGCCCAAACTCCACAACTGCTACCATAGAGACCCAAAGGGCCCTCTATCCCTTGGCAGGTGCCACCTCTGCATCTGCTGCATCCCTAGAAGCTGTTAAAATAAGATGAGGTCAGGTGGGGTCGTCATCAGGCATGTCTGACCGGCCATTCCAAGAAGTAAGGGTCCTGAAACACTTGTTGTTTTAAAGACTTAGAAGTTTTCTTTTCTCCAGGTAAAATGTCCTCCCAGCTTCAAACATCAGCACCCTGCCATTTGGAGCAATGAGGTGAGGAACCCTGCTAAGGGACCATACCCCGACTAACCTTCAGCCTCTGATAGACTCGGTGGTGACAACGTGATACCTTTTCACCTTCACGTTGCTGGTCCTCAGAGATACACAGCTGTCTCTCTCACAGCATCCTTCTCTCCACTGCATTGACCCAGGTGTCTTGTCCCTGCCAGACGGTGAGATCCTGTGGGACAGGCAGCGGGCCCCACTCTGTCCACAGCTCTGATCAGTGTCAGGCACAGCATGGGGCTTTAGGGCACCCCTGCCTGTGACCACACAGAATTCACACTGTGCCTTGAGGCCAGTCATGGCCTCCATCTTTACAATGAAACATTAAGGAGGAAGTCTTCAGGGCCACGTGACCTCTGCCGAGGTCATGTTGCAGTTTTCAGGGTCTCTGAGACGTTGTGTACAGACTGGCTTTTTGTGGCTCCTGCATTCACGTCCCCAATGATAATAATTTATAAGGATGATAATGATAAGAAAAGAGACGATCGATTAAGTCTTTAAGTTTGTTCCGGTGCTTCCTAGGTGTGATTGCTTTCGTCCTGCAGGGCAGAGACTCTTGTTTTTCCCACTGGATACAGTAGAAGGCTGCAGAGGTCAGTCATCTGCTCAAAGTCACACCAAGTGCGGTGCGCCCTGGCTCCGGAACCTGGCTCCTAACTGTCCCGTGATATCCCTGCTGAGAACCTCCTTTGCGGCCCTCCAGCTGGTCCACATACATCTTCCGGGCCCCTCAAGGGGCCGCCTGCCTGCTTGTCAATTGCTTTGATTTCCGACCCCAGAGCCCCAGCTGGCCCAGCCTCCACCTGCTGAGACCAGAGGCAGAGCTTGCCCCAGGATCCTGGAGGCCCTTTGTCCTGAGGGCCTGCAGCTCCTGTTGGGAGCAGGTGGCCGGAAAAGCAGGAGAGGACAGTCACTAGGGAGGCAGCTTGAGAGGCTAAAAGGGGGGGTGGGACAGAAAGGGCTGAACAGAGGACAAATTCCAAGGGCCCAGCCCCTGGATACCTGAGCCCCTGCATGGCTGTCCATGGTGGGCAAGGGCAGAGCCCAGGAGCGGGCCTCATTGTCTTAGTGTTACCTTCAGGAGGAGAGGGCAGAAGGGGTCTCCTAGGAGGGCCTTGGAGCTACCATTTAGGAAATAACTCAGTGGCCTGTTTGACAAAAGCCACTTTTTGTGGCTCATTTTTAAAGCATCTGCCTATTAAAATCCTATTCTAAAATCATTGTTAATTGACACATAAGAACTATACATATTCTTGGCATGTTCAAGGTCCTGGGTTCAATCCCCATCATAAAGAAAAAAAGTCTACCTATTTATGAGAAAACACATATAAATTGTATAATGCTCAAATTAGGGTAAATATATCCATCTCTGTAAACATGGAGGAGTATTAGAAAAATTTTTTTACTAGCTTTTGTTTTTGAAAAAGACAGTACATTGCAGTGCAATAGAACACCAGAACTTATTTCTCTTACCTAACTGTAACTTAGTATCTATTAACCAATTCAGCTACAGTGCTTGAAATTCTCTTGACCTAAAGGTTTTTATTGTTCTGAAAGAAACTTTTGATTTTACGGTGGAAAAACAAATTTGATCAATAAACAAGTTCACCACAGCCACCACAGTCTTAAATATTTACCCAAATGAGTTGAAAACTTATGTCCACACCAAAGCCTGCTCATGAATATTTATCATAGCTTTATTCATAATCACCAAAGATTGGAAGCAACCAAGATGTCCTTAAACTAGGCGACTGGATAAACGAACTCGTGAAGTTCGTGTGGAATATTATTCAGAGACAACATGAGTTCTCCAGTCAGGAGAAAACATGAAGGAACCTCACGTGTGTGTTGCTAAGTCAAAGAAGCCAGTCTACGGGGCTACACACCATAGAATTCCAACTCTACGACGTTCTAGAAAAGGTGAACTTCAAAGACACAAAAATATCAGAGGTTGCTGAAGGGAGGGTAATGTAGGAGGGAGGACTAGGTGGAGTGCATTTTTACGGCAATGAAACTACTCTGTTTAGTTTGATGAGGATACATGACGTGCATTTGTTAAAACCAATAGAACTATATAATGCAAAGCACGATTCTAAATGTAATCCGTGGATGTTAGTTCACAAAAATTTATCAATATTGACTCGTCAAATTATAAAACATGTATTGCACTAATGCAAATTCTTAATAAGGAGAACTAGGGATAAGGAGAATGAAGACATTGGAATTCTCTGTGCTTTCTGCACAATTTTTCTGTAAACCTAATACTGTTCTAAAATTAAAGTCTATTAAAAATATGCTTTGGACCCTAAAACACAGCTTCCTGTTTCACTATATTCTTTTTAGGCTAATCATAATCATAACAACTTCATTCCATCATTTAACCAGCCCTCTACTATGTCAGATACTGTTCCAAGCATGGTTTACATATTATCTCATTTAATGCTTGTATAAGCGTAATGAAAAATTGAAATCAGAGTAGCTCAAGGGACTTGTCAGAGTCTCAAAGTCATAATGGGGAGGAAGTAGGACTTGAACCCAAGTCCATCTAATCTCAAGCCCATACTTACAATACCTATGCCCTATCACGCTTCACTTCTCCAGGTGACAGAAATGGGCAGCACTTTGGTAAGCAGAGAACAGGACAGCATAAGTCTTAGTAAATCCTGTATTTAATCATTCACTCACAAATATTTGCTGTGTACTGAGCACTGAGCTGAACTCTGAGGATATACGTACAGGTAAGAGGGACCCCCTTCCCATGAGGAGCTGGCAGTTCAGGAGCAGAGGCAGATAAAAAGACAGACAATGACAATGACACCTTTAGGACCAAGGAACCAGGCAGGCCCAGCTCCAGGACTGGCATGTTATGCACAGGTCTTGAGACAGTCCTCTGGTGGCAATGGAGACCACTAGGCATCTTATTCTGGATTTGCATTCGCATAGGAAGCACCTGGCACCCTAACCATCCCACCTCTGGAGGTAGAAGATTGAGAGATGATGGATTCAGGGTCTAAAAATTGCAGCGAGAGAAAGAGAACTACTAATCTAAGAAACAGCTATTTTGAAGGGGAGGAAACTAATTTGCTATATGTCCCTGACATGCTAAGCTAGTCCTGGTCCCTTACCTACATCCTCTCTTCTAATCCCCCACAACGATTTCCAGGGGAGGCATTATTTGTGTGTCATTTTATAAAAACAGACCCCTGTGTCCCAGGATTTCTCTAATTCTTTTTTTGGGGGGTGGAGGGTACTGGGAATTGAACTCAGGGACACTTGACCACTGAGCCACATCCCCAACCCTATTTTGTATTTTATTTAGGGACAGGGACTCAATGAGTTGCTTAGCACCTCGCCTTGCTGAGACTGGCTTTGAACTCGCCCGCGATCCTCCTGTCTCAGCCTCCAGAGCCTCTGGGATTACAGGTGTGTGCCACCCGCGCCCGGCCCTTCTAATTCTTACCAGTGTCTTTCTTCTTATCTCGGGAGAGCTGGTGGACAGTGGCACCAATGTCATGCCTCAGGATCTTGATGATGCTGGTCAGGGCAGGCATGCTGCGTTTATCCAGGTGGGTGAAAAATTCATACTCGTCCTTGTTTAGTCGAGAAGGTCTGGACTCGATGTGGGTCAGGTTTATGTCATTCTCCTGGAAGAAAGAATCGAGTGTGAGGGGACAGTCACTGTGACCGACAGAGGCCAAAGATGGAAAGCCACACCCAGACACAGCACAGCAACATGTAGAGGTGAGGGGTAAGATTTTGTTTTTAATAACAGTAGAAGAAAGTCCTTAAATGATCAACAGATGTTTACTTTTTCTTCTGCAAAACCAAGCCCCAAATGGCAAGTGGTGGGAGGAATTATTCAAATGTCACGGTATTTGATCACTTGGAAACCTACTACTGGCTTAGATTTGCTACCACAGGATTTTGGTTTGGTTCAAATATCAAGGACGGTGGTGGCCAAAATTATTTACATAGGAAAAAACCCCCTTTTCCAAGTTAAATCTCACACGATCTCAATTAAGAGATAGTGCAGAAGCAACGTTGGTTTGCTGAAACAGAATTCTCAGCACTCAGACTTCTTGGCTTTACATCTAAGTTTAAAGTATATTGGTTATGAGATTTTAGGCAGCTTGTGTTCATCTTTCTAAACCTCAGTTTTCCCATCTATAAATGAGTGGTCTTAAAGAAACCCACTTCATCAGTTCCTTGGGAGCCCTGGATGAGCTGGTGTATACAATCCCACTACTTAGCACATAGTAAATGCTCAGTAAAAATTAAGTAATTGCCATTAATATCTTTATATGATCCATTGGGTTTCTTTTATGCCATTCAACAAGTGTGTGCATGCGTGTGTGTGTGTGTGTGTGTGTGTGTGTGTATATGTGTGTAAAACACCCATCAGATGCCAATCATCTTTCTAGGTAATTGGGGTCCCTCAGTGAACAAAACATTCAAGTTGAAGACATACAAACAGCAAGCATAAAAGATAATCTAGTTATTATTTTTAAAAGATAAAGGATAAGGAAGAAAAGCACAGCAGAGCAGGGTGAAGGGGAGAGACTGTCCTGAGAAATAAGGAGGGTGCATTGACATATTGGATGGGGGACATAAGAGGTCTCAGGAGAAGGCAAGACTGATGTTGGGTCAGTCCTAAGGAGTTGACAGAGGTAAAGAGACTAAGGTCATGTGCTGCCCTGTTGAAGGGACAACAAGCAAGACCAGCATGACCAAGGCCAAGGAAGTGATGAAGGAAAAGTAGAAGAAGTCAGAATAGACCCAGGGGAGAGGCCAGTTATGCAGATTATTCGGAAAGAAATAGGGGTCTTACGAGGTTTCGAGCATAGGAAAATAGGGTTTCCCGGTGCCAGCAGATTCGATCTGACTCCCACTTGGAGAATAAGCTTTGGGGGTATGACAGACCCATCGATAGGTCTGGCTTCCTGCCAGGAGGCCATTGCTGTGATGTGGGATGTGATGTGGCTGTGCCCTGGGGGGTGAGAAGAGGTGAAATTCTTGACACCTTGTACAATGTCCTCAAAGGACCAAAATTATCAAGGCACATGGAAAGATTTGTGGGTAAAGAAGTAGGAAAAGGTCCATCCTAATCCATACCACACTCAGATGTCACCATGACTTTGAATCACCATGTGGCAGAACAAGGAAGATTCTAGAAACCCCAGGGAAAGAAGAGGCACCAATTCGGCCTCCTGTCTCCTTGCAGTGATTTCTTTAAGTCAAGCATGGTGGGTCAGGGGAGGCGCAGAGATGAAGAAGCAGCTTCTACTTTGACCTTACCCTCCCCAACCCCTCAGACCAGCTGCTCCATAACTTCTTCAGCAAGCACTCGACGATGGACAAGTAAGTTGCTCGTGTTATTTTTCACCACTAGAGTCAGTGAGTAACATTACACATACACTTTTCCCTCCTTGCCTGATTTCTCAACATCAATGCCTAGGAGCCATGTTGCCGAGTTGCAAAGTTGTGTTCCCTTTAAAACATTTTTATATATTGACCCATTGCCCTTGGGAAAGGCCATACTCATCCACACCTCTTCTCTATTAGAGCCTTACTTCTCATCTGCCCAAACTTTCAATACTCTTGACCTGATAGTGAAGATAACTCATAACTCATTACTCAATTTTTTTAATTTAATTGTTTAGAGGAGACCAAACATTTTTTTTTTCCTGAGGTTAATGATCATTTATTTGTATTTCTTCTTTCATAAATTACTGGTTCATGCCATTTTCCCATTATGAAGTTTTCTGGGTGTTTTTTTTTTTTTAACTGATTAATAATAACCATTTGTATATTGATGTTATCTCTGTTATATGTAATTTTTTCAAGTCATTTTTTTTATGCTTGGTTACTCTTAAATACCTTCACACATACAAAAAATATTTAAAATGTTCTAAAAAAAATGTGGGGAACTAAAAAATAAAGTAAGTCTCTTGTGAGTTTTTAGGGATTGCACTTGAAATGCCTTCTTAGAAAAGAGCAACTTGTTCCTCATCACCACCTTCATGTCAGGTCTTCCTCAGTTTGTCCAAAGAACTCCCTAATTTTACGATCAAGTTCCCTGAGATTTACTTTGGCATTGATGGAGTTCTAGGTGCAAAATCACCAGAACATAAACAAGACGCACACGGCTGGCTGTGGCATTTGTCCAAATGCATTCCTAAAATCCTGATGGTGGTGACGATAATGGTGATGGTAATGGCACTGCTAGATCACTTGAAAGTCTCACTTATTTCTTGGCTCTGACTTCCTTCCAAACAGAGGGGATTTGGGGCCTGGAGCCCATCCATCTCTAACAATGAGATGTCACAGTTCTCTTGCAACATCTGGATACATTATACTAGTTCAGAAGGAGAGATGGATGTTGCCCAGCAGCAGAGCCTGGTGAAATCTGGAAAAACCTGCTGGACCCCCACACAAAGGAGTGAACCTTCAGCCCTTAGTCAGCTGCCCACTGGAAGTTCCCCTGATGCTCCAGCGTGCCACACCCGCATCCCTACAAGGAGCTGTGAAAGTTGCTGTGTCCAATGCCATACAAATGCAAAAATAAGGATCATCTACTGTGGCTACTCTACTTCCATGTTTTTAGACGGTGACGTTTTAGCTCTTTTGGTTGTTTTCTTACATAGGCACACAAATAATTAGTTACTGAAGTCCACCCTCCGATTTTAAGTACTGAGCAAATCACCTGCTGAGAACACCAGTGCTAGTTCATTACAGAGAAAAACCAAGGGAGTACGGTTTATGTTTTATTAAAGCAAACAAATAACAAGGGTGATCTCAACATTTAAATGAACAGAAAATGCCCTGAAAATTCAATAACCTAAATAACTCTAAAATGTCAAAAAAAAAAAAAAGTTCATCAACCAGATAGTTGAAGAGAGGTCTCTATCTTTGGCCTTGTTTACGGTCCAGGGTTGGAGAAGCCACATAGAACTACAATAATGAAACCTTTTCCCACTTGAGGATCACTTTACAGTTTGATCTTCTTTTCTGTGAGCTTTCCCATAATCCTTTGAGGACATTAAAGAAAATGTAAAAAAAAAAAAAAAAGTGAAATTGGAGCTGACGATGCTCTACTGCCAGCAAAAGGGAGGGACAATTATCTCTTCTGATCTTAGTCATTAGTCTCCTCACCACACTGCCTTTCCTGCCAGGGATCAAGCCCTCCTCAAATGTCAGCTTTTATCATTATCATTAATATTAAGTCAAATGCGAAAAGTTAAGGGCCCTGGATATTTTTAACTAAGTGACCTCAGACTCTCCTCCTTCTGTCCCACCCCATGACCCAAGGACACAAGATGCTGCCATAATTTGTGGGCTCACGTGGTGACCAGGTGAGACTAGATGGAGGCCCGAGTCGGGGACAGACGGATCCTAGGAAGGCCAGAGAGATAATGCAAGCTCTGAAGCTATCTCTGGCAAACAGATTATTTCCTAAACAAAGCAAAGAGCAAGATCATCCTTCCTGGCTCAGGAAGAAAGAGAAGGGGAAGTTTCCCATTTCCTGACCTATGTTGAAACTTCCAAACGAGAGACAACCAACCCCTGCCTTCTGCAGGGCGGAGAACACAGAAGAACCAAGAACCACAAAGGGACACGTGTGGGGCAGGCTTATTTGTGCTGGAGTTTAGGATGCAGGCCAGGGGCAGTAGGAGGGGGTGTGTGCAGAGGGAGGAAGTTCTGGGAGGCGAGTCATAGGTTAGGAGTGCTCACCACCCACACCCCACCCGGTGAAGCAGCCACTTTCAAAGAGAAGTTTAAGTTTCTTACTTTGGGAATAACCACAACACATATGCCATGACTCAGTCATAATGCTGCAGATCAGGCTAAGGGGAACAATTCACAACACTTTTCACCAAAGTTTTTTTCTAGCTAAACCTAGGGGAATGACTAAGTGGATGTAGTACCCTCCCTCAGTGGAAAATTATGCAACCATTAAAAAGCAAGTAACAATGACATTCAAAAAATGAAGGGTCACCCATCCTTTAAGATGTGTTAAAAGCAGCAATCTCTAAATGATGGGTTTAGGGGTGATTTGGTTTCTTTCATCTTTCTCTCTTTTTTTTTTGTATCATAGTTGAACTTTTCTAAAAATATCATTTATTACTTTTATTATAAAAATTAACTTTATTTATTAAATGACTATAATGATAACCACTCAGAGAAATACTTGTGATGTATATTAATATGTGGCAATTAAAACACGTTTTAAACAATTATGTCAGGTCCAAAAAAAATCTTGGATGAAAAGCATCAAAATGTTTATGGTGACATCAGGTGAATATTCCAAGTCTTACATGAGAGGAGTTTCTGGCTCAGCATGCACTGAACATTCAGCTGGGGTCTTTATTTCTTCCCCATTTCTATCAACCTGTTAATAATTAACCCTGTGTTTACCAGGCAATTTCTTTCCTGGGGTGTGTTTCCGCTTATCAGTACAGATCCTTAGAAACAAATAATTCTGATTGCCAAGAGAGGCTTTAGAAATTAATTTCCGAGCCTAGTTAGGATCATAATTTTGTAAATGAATTTTCTAAACTAAACAAGAGTTCTTTGTAGGTCTCCAAACCAACCCACCCACAATCACCATATCTTGATCTTACTCCAAGGGGACAGGTAAGGAAGG